TATATATATATATATATATATATATATATAGGGTCATAATCTTGACCCTATATAAAAATCAATTTGAGATAGATTGTATTCTATTTGAGAAAAGAAAAATAATAATGCTCCTAGAAGATAATTTGGGAGGATGACTTCATGACCTCAAGGTAGGCAAAGACTTATTCAGTAGGACAACAGAAGTACTAAACAAAAAGAAAAGATTGACAAAATTCGCCTACATTGAAATTAGACACGTCTTTTATTGAAAGATATTGTTCTGACAATGAGTAGGACCCATGATAGGAGAAGATTTTTGCTGCACATAACCAACAGAGGTTTCATATTTAGGCTTAAAAATTCCTATAATGAGTATGAGGAAGAAACAACCCAATAGACCAAGGAGCTGAGGGACTTGGATTGACACTGCACACAGGAGGATATCCAAATGACCAATAATTAAATGAAAACGAGCTCGACAAAATTAGTGATCAGAACCAGTAGGAGACAACAACACACTAGTGAAAGTTAAAGACCACAGATGATACCAATTGTTGTTGAAGATTTGGAGTGATAAAAACACTCTGTATATACAGAGTTGGTGGGAATATGAATGCCTATAAACACTTAGAAAACCATTTGTCATTATCTATTAAACTTTAAGATATGTAGACTCTATGATCTAGGTAGTTCATTCCCAGGTTTATACCTGTCAGAAATATGTCTGCTCGAACATGAAGAGCCATTTATGAGAATACCTAGGGCAGTGTTATTTGTAATAGCCCCGAACTGTAGTTAACTCAGAATGTCCATCAATAGTACAATGAATGAATTGGCATATTCATGCAGTGGAACATAGTACAGACACAAAAATGAACCACAACCAAATAGAAGGGCTCTGAAAATACACTGTGAAAAGGAAGCCAGATATGAACAAGGTTTTCTATATGATCTCATTTATATAATTTTTTAAAAATGAGGCAAAAATAAAGCATAAAATTTAAGGATATACATTTGGGTATAAAACTACGAAGAAAAATAAGAAAACAGTTACCATAATAGGCAGGACAGTGGTCATCTCTGGAAGCTATTGAGAGAAGGTAGAAAGGGTGTTTTGGAGTGCAGGAAATGTTTAATTTCTTTACTCTTGTGGTATTTACATGGGAGAATCTCTAATACTTGAGCTTTATGTTTTCATTTCATGCCTGTTTCTGGTTAGGTGTTATAATTTCCACTTAAAAACAAGGTAGTGGGGCTGGGTGTGATGGCTCATGAGGATGAGGCAGAAGGACCCTGAGTTCAAAGCCAGCCTTGGCAACTTAGTGAGGCTGTAAGAACCTAGCGAGAGAACCTGTTTCAAAATAAAAAGGGCTGGGGGTTGTGGCTCTGTGGTTATGCGCCCTTGGGTTTAATCCCCAGTCCCAAACAAACAAACAATAACAACAACAACAACAAAAAACCCCTAAGGTAGTGGTGCAAATAATCCAAACAATGACCTAGAACATTCTGACAGGAGAAAACATACTGATCTTAAATATATAACTAGGACTTTTAATGGTAGTTTTACTCCCTGTTTATAGCCTGGTTAATGCAATCTCAGGGCTGCAGTGATCCAATGTCAAAATGAGAAAATGGAAAGAGTCCCATTTTTTGGTGCCTATTCAACTTTGGCTCCTTTTCAATTCCTTGGCTATTTGAAAGTTTTATAGGTATTCATTATTACAGGTCAGCTTTGATTTAAAAATCTGACTTGAGGGAAGATCTTGAAAAACAAACACCTTGTGAGGGTGTTTGCAGCACAGATTTAAGATTGCTATTGTTTGTGGATACTACAAATGAAAGAAAAATCAGAAGAAACATTTTCAAATAACATTCTTTGAAATATTCATTAAGGTGAGTCCTCAGAGATATTTGCAAGAATTCTCTGAAGTTTTAGTAACTAAAACACAGGGTGAATTTCTGATATGTTGACATACATTCTAGTTACTCTCTCTGTTCTAGTATTGAACCTCCAAGCTATTGTACCCTCCACATAACTAGAAGCTATATTATTTCAGTCCTGGCAATTATAATGAAGTTTTTATATGAAAGATTAGAGTACATGAGGATTGTATTCTGGGAATAAAAGCCTATTGTTCTATTGGAGAGTGATATTAGATTGTCTTGGCATATGAAAGTATTCTGTACATCTAAATTGCTACTATAAAATCCAAAACTCAATATAAGTTAAAATTGATAATGGCAGGTTGGTTCTCCTGAAACTTACTGGTTATCCCAAATTTTATTAATATAAATATTATGTTGAGCTTTAACACAATACACATTTGCTGAGCATGATTCCATCAGTGCAGCCAACCTCTATGAATACAACATACATGAAGAAACACACACACACACACTGTGACCATGGTTGAAGATTTATCCTGTGCTAGGTACTGAGCTCTGTTCAACACTACATCCTTTGTTCTACTTCTCACAATGACCTTGCAGGGTGATTATTTGTTATCATCTTTTTAGAGAAAAGGAAACTAAGGCTCAAAGAGGTTAAGTTATATCCTCAAGGTCCAAGAACCAACTGATAATGATTGTGGAAAAACAAAATATAGCAATGCAGTTTTACCCTTTGGTTCCCAGGTACATGGCAAATACTTAGTTTTTGATATGCACATCTCTAACTAAGCTCTATTCCTACTTTGAAAGACTCAGCCTGCTGGCATAAAAATAAAGAAAAATTTATCTTCCCAAATGGAAGTCAAGGCAAAATCTGCATTACCACAATATGGGGCATGACTTGTCTATGGCTTGCACAGAGAAAAAGTATTTTCCAGGCCAGAATCAAATAGTGAGTTTTGTGAATGGAGGCGGCCAGGGCCTACTTTCTGGTGATATTTTCCTTTGAAATGCTGGCAAAGGGGAACTTCAGAGAGAGACAAATGGGACACGGAGCTCTGTGGGGGTGCATGGATACAGTGTGCCAAGCTCCTACCTTCTGATTGATTTTCATTGTCTCTTCAGTGTGGTAGAGAAGGAGCTTTTCCCCAGAAGAAGTCAGGTTCACGTACACCTGGAGGCAGGGGTACTGAGAGAGTTTCCAGCAGTCTGGCCCACAGCTGAAGGAGCAATTAAATGTCTCCGTGATGGACGCATTCAGCAAGGTGCATTGAGTCTCTTCAGTCCACACACTACAGAGAAAAGGAAAGAGTGAGCAAAAGGCCGAGAGTTACTGGCAAGGAAGCTGTGAGCAGAGGGAATGGTGGCTCAGCTCCTGGGCTGGAAGCCTTTTCCAAATCTATAATACATCCGTCTGCATAAAGTTTATGCTTTTGAACAAAGCTGCTTTAGGCAAACTCTAACATAGCATAGACAAACTTTGGAACCTGAGAATTTTCTCAGTGACCTCCATTGGACATAATATACTCCAAGGCTTGATTGGTTAGTTATTTTTTCTTATTGAATTCCATGGGAAGCACAAAGTATATTTCTAAATAACGATCTGTGCTTGCCCTGTATTTCTGCATGTATAACTTCTTGCCTTGCACCAGTCCTTATCTCTGCTATGCCTCCCTTGGTGCTTTCTTCACCTGCACCTCCTCCTCTGCCCAGTTTGTAGGCAGAGAAGGTGTAAGGGCAGAAGAGAGGAAAAAAGGGGTGGAGTGGCTTGGGGTCCAACTTGACAGATGGAAGTCAGAGATACAATGCCGTACGGTCATTCTAAAAAGGGGAAAAAAGATAACCCCTGGATTAGGCGAAGAGAAATTACTTATTGAATCCTTTGAATTCTAATTGATGTTTCACATAAATTATCTCCTTTTGAAGGTGAGTGAATCAAGGGTCAAAGAAATCAGGTAACAGGTACAAAGACATGTAGCTGATAACTGATAGAAGTTGTGATTCTACAAAATCCAGTATTTCTCTAAGTCCTGGTTCATTCTATTATGCTGTGCTGCCTCCCCATAAAGCAGTAGAAAAGAAACCCATCTGTGCAGACTAATGGGTTAACAAGGATGCCCTGAGGCCTCTCAACTGGAAAGAGTCCACCTGCCCATTGGTCATCTTTAATTTTAGAATGCCTTTACTTTTATGATCAAGGTTAACATTTGTAATTAGAAAGTAACACACCAGCAATCAATGCTTTGCTTCTGGGTATAACTGATTACCATAGTGATTGGAAAACAACATGTTTTTGTGAAGATTAATACTCTTTCCTTTTGACATCCACAGCTCTCTGCACTTTTGCATGTGTGAAGTTCTATGCCAGAGGCAAGATACTGCACCTACTCTCTTCTGGTGTGGCAAACTATATTTTCCTGGAACATGGATGGTCAGATTTTGCTTATACAAAGAGGAAAAAGTCTTGGATGGTTCCAAGCAGATGTGAGGATTTGAAAGAGGGCTTGGAATCAACGAACTCTGGGGGCGTGAGGCATCAGTGCTTTCATTGAGAAGGAGCACAGCTGAAGGCCATCAGAGAAACAGAGCAGAACAGCCACAAATGTGAAAGATGATGCCTTAATTTCAGCAAATTACTGTATTTCAGCTAGATTTTTGTTTCTAAAATGAAGCTATTAATTTAGATTGAGAAATGAATGCCCCCAAATGGTTTTCTTTTCTTTTGGATTGAAACTTTAATTTTTTGTTTGAAAGGATCTTGTTACTTTAAGCTGAACTGTTGTGAGACTTCCCCCATTAGTTTTAGTGATGCTGGGCTCACCTGAGCTTCATGTCCAATTCATGGTCAACAGTGAAGCTAGAGATGCTGCTACTAGCTCAGGAGAGAACATACCAACTGTCTCACTATTTATTTGCCTTCCCATCTACTCAGTAAATCTAGGGGTATTAAATAAAAAGGGTTCAAAATCTGTTATTTTAAAAGGTCGATGCACAATAGTGTTTTTCAACTTTGACAGTATAGTAGTATCCCTTGGAGGAGTTTTAAAAGATACTAATGAATGGGTCCCACTTCAAACCAGTTTAATCAGACTTTCTGGGATGATGGTGGGGGCCGGGCATCAGCATTTTTAAAGTTTTTGTGAGATGTGCCATTGAGAAGTACTGCCGTAGAGGGAGGGAGAAGGGCGATGCAGGGTGGAAAAGGAATGAAGGTGGGAACAGACATGAAGGAGCAAGAATAGGGATGCTGAGATGAGTGGGTTATGCCTTTGAAGCTAAGGCTTGGCCACATGCTAAAGCTATATGACATTGGACAAGTTACCTCTCTTTGAACCTCAGTTTTCCTATTTTTTTTGATGAGGATATTCATACTTACAGTGTAGTCATGAGGATAAAACGATGTATGAAAAGTTTTTGGCAATAATAGGCAGTTTATATATAAAACTATTTTAGTATTATTATTAGATAGCATTATTAAAATATTATATGAGGGGCACTTCTGGAAGTTCTCCATAGGAAAGAGGGTGAGGAAGATGACCTCAGGGTTGACTGAGCAATGAGGGTAGAGACAAATGGCAGTGTCCCAACAGCACAGTGGCATTACCTCTGCATATATGAGCGCAGGAGTGTGATTCCCAGAAGGAAATACATCATGATGGAGCACACCATCATGGCCAGTCCCAGGAGAATGGCTCGGTCCTCTCCAGCCTTTAGTGCTGTGACTGTTTTCCTTTTGTCCAGGAGGTCGTGGTCCCTGATTTTTTGGTAGATATTTCTAAAGTTGAAAAACAATGCAATATTAAATAAAGTTCAAAGTTAATCAGTATGCGCCTGGAGAACGGGTACGTTTCTACCCCTGTCTTGCTGGAGCTAAGAGACTCAGAGGACACTTCTGAACCTGCCTGAGTGCAACTGGATCCCAGCATGTAATTCTAACCCTGCAACGTATCATGTGTGCATGCATGGACACACACGTACACATGTGCATAACATGAGCAGACAGGGACCCTCCTTATTTACCTTGAGGCTCACATCTAATGGCAAACTAATGTTCCTTCTTTCCATTTCTACAGAAAGAAAGCAATTCCTCAACCTTCAAAATAATTCTTTGGGTTCATTGACTTTACCATCTATCAAGTCATCTACCATTGATATATTTTGTAATTTCTGCATACCTAATTCAAATAAATGGCAACATAAATCAGAAATCTATCAATTTAATCATGCTATTCCCTCAGTAGGGATAGACAGAAGCTATTTTGGTTAACATTCTTCTCGAGCTTAGGGGTGCTTAGGGCTCTTTTGGCTTGAGATTTATAAGCAGTGTGAAGATGTGGGGTGGTGATCCTGCCTACTTTTTCTTATATGAGTAAATACTTGAGTGATTTAGAAAAGTTTTAGTCAAATCAAGGCAAATCAAGGATGGTCTTCATAACTTTGAACAGTTTTATTAGTACTTTTATTTGGGGTTTTAGAGAAGCAACATAGGAACATGAGCTTGAAGTCAAATTGTGTCCTGTTCGAATCTGTTTACTAACTGTGTGATCAACAAAAAGTTCCTTAGCCTTTTCAATCCCCAGTTTCTTGCAAAGTAGAAATAACATTTAAAAGCTTTGTAATGGCTAAAGGCGATGAGGGTAGGCAGATCATCTTGCAAAATGACTGATGTAAATATTTAATAAAGGTTCTCATTCAAAAAATGGGGTGGACATAAAATCAATAAAGATATCTCCAACCTAAATAACACTACAAATTAAATAGACCTAATGGACAACTACAGACTATTCCACCCCAAACAGCTGAATTTACCTGTCTCTTAGCTGAGAATATAATAGTTTCCAAAATATATTATATTCTAAGTCACAAAACAAATCATAGCAAATGCAAAAAAATCACATAATCCCATATATAATATAATAAAAGAATGAAGCTAGAAATCAACAGTAAGAAAAATAAAAACCACATAAACACAGGGAGATTGAACAAAACTCTCTTTAATGAAGAATGGATCAAAGAAGAAATGAGAATAGAAGTCAATAAATTTTTAGGAATAAACAGGAACAGAGATACAAAATATCAAAATCTCTGGGACATTATAAAATCAATTCTAAGAGGAAAATTTATAGCACTGAGTGCGTACAGTAAACAATTAGCGAGATCCCAAATAAGTAAGTTTATGCTCCACCTCAAGGCCTCAGGAAAAGAACAAACTAACTCCCAAACCAGTAGAAGACAGAGATAATTAAAAACAGAGCCCAAATCAATGTGATTGAGAACAAGAAAATACAAGGATTAATGCAATGAAGAGATTGTTCTTTGAAAAGATAAATAAGATTGACATACCCTTATCCAAACTATCCAAAAGAAAGAGTGAGAAGAAGCAAATCAACAATTTCAGAGATAAAAAAGGAGATATCACTACAGATCCTTCTGAAATCCAGAGGATTATCAGAAACTATATTGAAAATTTATACTTCAATAAACAGGAAAATCTGGAAGATATTGTCAAATTTGTAGACACATATGATCTGCCTAAAGTGACTCAGGAAGATACAGAAAACCTAAACATACCAATATTAAGTAATGAAATTAAAAACTGCAGTTAAAAGCCTTCCAAAAAAGCAGAGCCCAGGACCTTATGGATTCTTAGCTGAGTTCTAGCAGACCTTTACAGAAGAACTAACACCAGTCTTTCTGAAATTATTCCATGAAATTGAAAGACAGGGAATACTCCCAAATACATTTTATAAAGTCAGTATAACTCTGTTAATAAACCAAACAAAGATGCATTTTCAAAGGAAAGAAGACTACAGACCAATATCCCTGATGAACAAAAATGCAAAAATCCTTAATAAAATATTAGCAAACTCCATTTAAAAACACATAAGAAAGATAATACACCAAGTTCAAATGGGTTTTATTCCAGGGATGCCAGGTTGGTTCAACATATGCAGAAATCAGTAAATGTAATTCTTCACTTAAATAGAATTTAGAACAAAAATCACATAATCATCTCAATAGATACAGAAAAGGCCTTTAATAAAATCCAACACCTATTGAGGTTAAAAAAACGGGAGAAGCTAGGAATTGAAGGAACTTACTTCAACATCATAAAGGTCATTTATGACAAACACAAAGCCAAAATCATATTAAATGAGAAAAACTAAAAACATTTCTTCTAAAATCAGGAACAGACAAGACTGTCCATTTTCACCATTCCTATTTAATATTGTCCTCAAAAAACTAACCAGAGCAATCAGGCAAGAAAAGGAAACAAAAAGGATACAGATAGGAAATGAAGTTGTTAAATTACGATATGATTCTATAACTAGAAGACCCAAAACTTCACCAGAAAACTTCTAGATATAAATGAGTTTAGCAAAGTAGCAGGATACAAGATCAACACCTATAAATCAATAGCTTTCCTAAACTCCAACAGTGATTCAACCAAGGAAGAAATTAGGAAAACCATCCCATTCACAATAACCTAAATACACACACACACACACACACACACACATATATTTGGGAATTAATCTAAGGTGGTAAGAGAGTTCTATAATGAAAATTATAGAACACTGAAGAAAGAAATTGAAGACAACCTTGGAAGATGGAAAGACATCCATGTTCTTAGATAGGAAGAATCAATTTTGTCAAAATGACCATACTATCAAAAGCAACATACAGATTCAATGCAATTCCCATCAAACTACCAATGACATTATTCATAGAATTAGAAAAAATTATGAAATTTATTTGGAAGAATAAGAGACCCAGAGAGCTAAAGCAATACTAAGAAGGAAAAGCAAAGCAGAAGGTGTCATAATACCAACTGAAATGATACTACAGAGCTGTAGTAACAAAAACAGCATGATATTGGCATCAAAATAGACTTGAAGACCAATGGAACAGAATAGAAGTCACAGAGACAAATCCACATACCTATACCTGCCTGATATTTGATGCAGGCATCAAAAATATATCTTGGAGAAAAGACAGACTTTTAACAAATGATGTTGGGAAAACTGGAAAGCTGTATGTAGAAACAATGACATTAGACTCCTCTTTCTCACCCTGTACAAAACTCAAATCAAAATGGATCAAAGACTTATGAATTAGACCAGATATTTACAATTGCTAGAAGAAAAGATAAGGTCCATACTCTACCATATAAGTGCTGGTACCAACTTCCTTAACAAAACTCCCTGAGTGCAAGAAATAAAATTAAGAATCAATAAGTAGGATGCCATCAAACTAAAAAACTCCTGCATAACAAATTGTAAATGGGTAATAATGAGTATAATACATTCCACTATTGTCATGTATGTAAAAAAAAAAGAAGGTGAAGGAGAGAGCCTACAGAATAGGAGAAAATCTCTGATAGGGGATTAATAACCAGAATAAAGAATTCAAAAAGACTTAACGCCCAAAATACAAATAACCAAATCAATAAATAGGCAAAAGAACTACATAGAAACATTTCAAAAGAAGACACACAAATGGACAACAAATAAATGAAAAAAATGTTCAATAACTCTCACAATCAGGGAAATGCAAATCAAAACTATATAAGATTTCATCTCACTCTAGTCAGAATGATATTTATCAAGAATATGAACAACAATGAATGCTGATGAGGTTGTGGGGGAAAAGGTACATTTGTGTATGGTTGGTGGACTGGTAGACTAGTACAATCACTCTGGAAAGCAGTATGGAATTCTTCAGAATACTAGGGATGAAATCATCATATGTCCCTGCCATCCCACTCCTTAGTGTTTTCCCAAATGATCTAAAATTGGCATACTACAGCAATACAGCCACCTTAATATTTATAGTAGCACAATTCACAATAGCTAAATGATGGAATCAACCCAGATGCCTGTCAGTAGATGAATGGATTAAGAAATTGTGATTGTTACAATGCACACACAATAGAGTCCTACTCAGCCAAAAAGAAGAATGAAATTCTGGCACTTGCCAGTAAATGGATAGAAATGGAGAAAATTATGCTAAGTGAAATGAACCAAACTCAGAAACTCAAAGATTGAATGTTTTCTCTCGTCTGTGGAAGCTAGCGTAAAATAAAGGAAAGGGGGAGGAAAGGGTAGGATAAAATAAAGAACCAATTAAATACAAATTAATAGACAAGGAAAAGGAAATCTCGTAGAGGAAGGAGAATGGGAGAGGGGAGGGAAAAGGAGGGGATGATGGACTGAAATCAATTTCCACATATGTATGAGCTTGTTAGGATGAACCAAACCACTATGTACAACTATAAAGCTCTTATTAAAAAATGGAGTGGGAGCTATGGTTTAATGACATGAATATTAGACCATCATAAAATTTCTACCATTCTTCAAAGACTATCTGCAGGACAGAATGGCAAGGAAATTAATAATATATAAAGCTTAGGAATGGAGGAATGGATTTGAAGCAAGCAGGAGAAGAAAGAAAAGGTGAGAAAATTCTGGAGGTGTTGGTGCTTGGGGAGATGTATGAGAAGTGGGGGTAGGAAGTCAATGCTTGGGAATTCCAGAACTCCTGCTGATCAAGATACAGCTTGGGCACTCTCAGTTCCTATTTTGATAGGGAGCTTTGCATTGCAGGGCAGTGGGAGTAGGAAAGCTGCTGGCCTATTGGAACTGGAAACAGGACAAATGGTCCTGAAAACTGAGAAGGAAGCTCTTAAGCCAATTTTTAAGCTTTAAACAAAAACCAAAATGCACAAGACAGACCACATTTTCCTTTAATATTTTTATCACTGTTTATTCATGT